AGGAAAAAAAATGGAAACAAGGTCTTTGCAAATAGGGAAGGGTGGAGGGGGTGAAGGGAGGGCAAGGGAAGGGGAAAAAAAATAAGAACCAAGAGACTCATGTAATGGTACAAGATCCCAATGATGAATATAACTGTATTATATACCGAAAATGTACCAGTAAACTTAATGGGGGGAAAAAATACTCTGTATTTCAAAACAGCAAGCCCTATTCCATTCCACTATACTATAATTGTATCTGTTCAATGTCTGTCTCCCTATTTATGCCACAAAACTCACTCAGGCAGAAATTTTATTTTACTTGTGTTCCATCCTGAGGTCTGACTCAGGGTCTGGGCACAAAGAAAATCCCCAACTGGTTGTTGAACAAATAAATTAGGTACTAGTCACTCAAATGCAAAAGGTTAATCTGTCTTCTGTGTGCTGGGTGTTTTGCCTATATTCACAGCCTTACCCCAAGCAGGAATTTACCTCACCTGAATATGCATGCACAGACCTCCAAACAGCAGCAGAGATACAGCGTGAACCAGGTAAACAAACACCTGTGGACTGAGGAAGCCGAGACTGGACTTCTCTAGAGTCTTACTGTTCTTGTTCCTTCGCAGTCCAAGTGTAAGGCAGAGCCAAGGGTGTGTGGTCACATAGGTCCAAGTTGCCCAGGAAACCAATATAGCCACTGGTGCAGCCAGCAGAAAATTGGGCACCTGCTTGAACTCATAGTATCTCAGAAAGCCCACATTCCAGTAAACATCCTGGATATAGCTGTATATTAGAGGAAGATCCCAGGAGCACCACGGTGGTTCATTCCCCTCTGCAATCCGATAGCCCTTGTCCATAGCTAACTGCACCAAGGGCTCACGAATGGAGCGGGCTGAGCCTGACAGACAGAACTGGGTATATGCATAATACTGAAAGAGGGCAAAGGGAAGGCTGAGTGTGAGGAATGACAGGCACACAGAGGCCACCAGCTTAAAGAACTGTCTGAGGGGGTTTGACACCACAAGAGAAGAGAAAAAGCCTCGGCACTGAGAATGCAGGAGGAAGCCAACACTGACCAGTCCATTGGAGCGCACTCCAGTGGCAAGAGCAAAGAGCAGCCCACTAATCCAGCCTCGGCCTCTCTCTAGTTGCCCCATAGAGCTAAATGTAAGGAAAGCAAACAAAGCTTCTGAGTAACCAGCTGCTAGGAAAACATTCGCAGGGCTGAGGCAGAAGAGCAGAGCTGCATAAAAGGCCTGGCGGGGACAGTGCAAAACTAGACAGCCCAGGTCATGAAGCGCTACTGCGGCCAGTATGGAGAACAAGGAGTTGAGTGATGCTACTGAAATAAGCAGGCAACTCCGTTGATTCAGTAACCCCCGCAAGGGTCTCAACAGTTCAGTCCCTACCAGTAGGGCCAAGGGGAAGCCAGGAAAGAAGGCAAAGTTGTGCTCATAGAGGTAGCCATGCTCAGCAATGAACAGGAAGTGTTCAGCATCCCAGCGAGAGAGGCCACCCAGAAGACCTTCTACAAGCTGGTCCACACAGCCCGAGGGAGCCAGGCGGGGCGGAGAAAAGGCTTCTGCATGATGATCTGGGATGATGGCATTGAAGAAGGCCTGTGGAGTGAACGAGAACCAGGATTTTAGTTGAATAACTGAAAGAAAAGAATTATCACTTAATAAGATGAGGAAGACCAGGGCTGGGAATGCAGCTCAGTGGTAGAAAGTTTGCCTTACATGCATGGAGCCCTGGGTTTGATCCCCAGCACTGTAAATACACATAAAATGAGGAAGAGCCCAGCAATTGGGAGGCTGAAGCAGAAGGATCGCTGCAAGTTTGAGGCTAGCCTGGGCTCCATAGTGAGTTCAAGACCAGCCTGAACTATACAGTGAGACCCTGTCTCAAAAAAAAAAAAAAAAGGGGGAAAAAAAAGTCAAACAAGTGTGAGATGTTCAAGTCTGTGAATAGAAACTGGGGTTGAAGATACAAATTAGAGAAGGAAGTATATGGATGGACAGATGGTGTTTACAGGTGTAAAACTTCTTACTGCCTTCACTGCAGAAAGAACAGATCTAAGAGTGAAGGCATGGACATGTCAAGTTAAGAGGTTTGAAAGGAGGTGAGGGTCTAGCATGAAAATAAAGAAGGAACAGTGAGGTGGGGGAAACCCAGGAGAGCATGCTATCTTAGAACCAAGGGAAGAACAGGAGGGAGCAACTCTTTTTTTCTTTTGAGACAGGGTCTCACTATATAGTTCAAGCTGGCCTTGAACTCACTATGTAGTCCGGGCTAGCCTTGAACTCATGGTGATCCTCCTGCCTCCTGAGTGCTGGGATTAGAGGCATGTGCCACCATATCCAGCAAGGGAACAACTTTTTTTTTTTTGGTACTAGGGATCAAACTTGGGTCCTTGCGCTTGTGCAGCAGGTGGCGAAACAACTGAGCTAAATCCCTGGCCTGGGAACAACTCTTTTAAATGCTGCTGATAGTGCTTGCTTTGGCAGCATATATATTAAATGTTGCTGATAGGTTGAGTAAAATGGGGATTGAACTCAGTATTGTGAAATTCCCTGGTAAGTTTGACTAGAGCTATTTCAAGGGAGTGGAGAGAAAGAAGCTTCTCTAAATAGGTTCAGTAGAGAATGGGTGAAAGAAAACAGACTTTACCTGGTAACAAAAAAACCTGACTTTAAGAGTTTTGCTGTAAAAGGGAGCAGAGAAACAAGGCAGCAAGTCTGTGGCAATGTAGGGGTCAAGAGAAAAAAACATGTTTTTTCCCCCAATACCATGGATCAAACTCAGGACCTTGCACTTAAAAGGCAGGCTCAGCACCACTGGGCTACATCCCTGCCCCTAAAAGAGAAAAAATTTTTTAAAGTAGGATCCCACTGCAAATAATCCAGTGAAAAGGAAATCACTGAATATCCAGAATAGAGGGGAAGCTAGCCATAGTATCACATGCCTGTAATCTCAACACTCAGACTTAGGCAGAAGGAGCAGAAGTGAGGCCAGCCTGAACTAAAGAGTGAGACTCTTGTCTCATGAAAAAAAAAAAAAGAAAGAAAAAAAGAGTGAAAATGGTTGGGGAGGGCAGGTAATAAGGGATGGAATCTGTTAAGACAATGGAGGAGCCAGCCTTAGAGACTGTTCATACAACCTTCAGCAGTGAAGGCACACCAGGTACAGATATAGGTAGGGTGATGGATATAGTGGGAGGATATAAAAGGTCTCTTCCAATGCCTTGGATTTTTTTGAGTTTTTATTCAAAATAAGTTATCAATTGAAAGTATTAGGACAGATTTGTTAGAGATTTGAGAAAAGAGAAAAACATGTAAAATAAATTACCTATTGGCCAGGCATGGTGGCACATGCCTGTAATCCCAACACTTGGAAGGCTGAGGCAGAAGGATCACCATAAGTTCTAGGCCAGCCTATGCTACAAAGTGAGTTCAAGGCCAGCCTGAACTACACAGTGAAATACTGAGATTCTATCTCAAAACAAAAAAAAAATTACTTATAACCTTCAATTTCAAAATAGTCTATGCCATAAAAATCACTCAGTTTCAAAAAATACTGATTCCTGGAGTGCTCCCAGAGATTTCATGATTTAAGCACCATGGGGTACAGCCTGGGAACTGGATTTTTCTTTTTAAGTCAAACAGATGATTCTGATGTGCAGAAATTTTTGAAAGAATGGGAGTGGATGGCCGGGAATTTAGCTCAGTGGTTTCACCGCCTGCTGTGCAAGCGCAAGGACCAGAGTTCGATCCCCGGTATCAAAAAACAAAAACCAAACAAAGAAGAATGGAAGTGGATGGGTTAAGAAAACACATCAAGATTGCCATAGCTCCGGGGATTTAGCTCAGTGGTTTCATCGCCTTCTGGGCAAGCACAAGGACCCGAGTTCAATCCCCCGGTACCAAAAAAAAAAAAAAAAAAAAAAAAGATTGCCAGGTGCTACTAACATCTCGCTTGGATTAACGATCTTGTATAAAACAATGATTTATCAGTACAATTACATGTTTTCTCGGAGTAAATGCAGACATGCAGGAAGAAGAAAATTGGATTTAATCAAAATTGGACTTGTCTTATGAATAAAGCATAGGGAGAAGGGACAAAGATAGTTCAATGTATATGTATAGGAATGATTATGAGAGACCACTGAATCTCATCTGGGTGAAAAAGAGAGGTGAAGCCAAGAGATGTGGGGGTTGGTTAGGGAAACATCGGGAGGTCAATGGATATAAATCCTGAGAGGATAGAAGAATCATTAGAACTAGAGCAATACGAATCAGCTGGAGAGATAGGCGAGTGGGGTCACAGATGGGATGTTTAAAACATTATTTGGCAGGGCTTGGGAATACAAGGTGTTAGAATGAGAGTTGTGAGGACAAGGAAGTGAGAGACCAGGGCACTGGATATATCAACATCATTAATATTGAAACCACAAAGACATCAACAGAACCAGTGCTGGAGAGAGTGACAACGACCCATGAGCCAAACCTTCAAGGAATAACTGTCACTGATAGAGATGACAGCAACTATGAAGGGTAACTGGGGATATTACTACAGCTGATGGTATGTGCTTTAAGGCTAGAAATAGTGCTGGGAGAGGAGATAATGAAATGGCCTTTTGTTTTGGCGACAGGGTAGCCTCAAACTCACAGGGCTCCTCCTGCCTCAGCCTCCCAGTGTTGGGATTATAGGCATGTGCAACCATGCCCGGCTCACTTTTATTGTTAAATGTCATTTTCCCCATTAGATTGTCAACTACTTAAGAGGAAAGTGACAACTGTTTTTTTGCTTGTTTTTGGCAGTACTAGGAACTGAACACAGGGGTGCTCTACCATTGAGCTATAACCCTGGCCCGTTTTATTTTTTATTATGAGACAGGGTCCAAGTTGCCCAGGCAGTACTCAAACTTGCAATCCTCTTGACTCTTCCTCCCTCAGTGCTGGGATTATGCCCTGCTAACAACATTTTGTACTCACCACCTAACAGTTCTTGGAATACAATAGATACTTAATAAAATTTTGGTGGTTGAATGAACTTCTGGAATTGAGGAATTTGCTATTTCCAAAATCTCCTACTGAATCAGAATCCAGCTGTCCTGTTCCTTAGTCTAGAAGCTGACTTGCAGTATTGCTCTTTTGGTTCTGCCAAAAACTCAGCTGATGCTGGTTCAGTCACTGAGTCAGTCTCCCCAGCCTGGCAATAAGAGCATAACCCTATTTTTGGGCCGGGGATTTAGCTCAGTGGTTCCGCAGCCTGCCTTGCAAGCACAAGGACCTGAGTTCTATCCCTGGTACCAAAAAAAAAAAAAAAAGGGGCATAACCCTATTTTTATGGCCCTTTATCTTTTTGATCAGATTTTTTGTCAGGCCATATCAAACACTGAAAACAAATGGGACAGGAGTGACAGTCACAGCTAATAGCCCTAGCCTGCAAGTTGAAATCACTTTAATTAAACTTGAAACCCAGCAGAACCTAGAAGAAAAGGAAGGAGCTTTCCACCACAGAACCAGCCAGGTGCCTCAGAGAGAATGGTACTGGTGATATAAAAGCATACATAATTATGTTAATATAACATCTCTAGGGTGTGGGCATACAGTCAACAACATTCACTCATTTATGAGCATATGCTGAGGACCTACTAAGCACTGGGCACTGTGCTAGGCATCAAATAATTCATATATGTGTGTGTGTGAAATTTGATTAAAATATGTATCGGGGCAGTCTTTGGGGAAAAGAAGTTGCAAAAGGGCAGATGCACTGAGAACTGTCTGTAGGTGAGGCAATAAGGGGGAGACACTTGGGCAAAGAGAAATCATTACTGATAAATATACATAGGTGGTCTCAGGACTTGGAGTGTCACCTTTTTCCCTCACCTGACACAATGCTCCGTCTCCTGGTGAGGACACCAAGGAAATACTTAAAAGCACCACTGTCTGTTGGAAAGACCATAAAATCATTAAAGTCTGTTTGAAAGATGATTACCTTGTAAGGTAAGAAACCTGGGGTCTAGCTTTGGCCCTTCTCTAGTTTGCTGTACAGCTTAAGTGGTCTGACTTTTCTGGGCCCTTGCTTCTTCATGTGTAAAACAGGGTTAATACTGTTTCTAAGATTCCTGTCCACTTTTTGACTATAAAGTCTGTATCTTTATAATTCCAACCACATGGAGGGACACACCTGGGAGGTAGAAAGGAGACAGGAACTAATCTTTGTGCCTGGGGCAGTCATGTAGCAACAGCATGTTCAAGACAAAGGATCTGAGACTGACCTGTAGCATCAGAGTCAGGACACGGCATCTTATCGCAAACCTCAGCACCTCTTTCCGGTATGGGTCCAGGGGCCACATCCTCTCACCTACCAGGAATTCAGGTGTCCTGGTACCAGGACTGATCTTCCTTGTACCTCTAAACTCCAAAACCCAAGGAAGAATATATCACATATAGGCTAAAACCAAAGGATTGAAAATGTCCTTCACCGGAAGCACCTCCCTCCTTCAGCATTACCATGTCAAGCTTAACCAGGATTTAATCTCTAGTACTACAAGATAAATTCCTAAAAGGCACAGGGAAGTGAGGGCACAACACATTGTTTAGAGAGAATAAGAGAATTCCCAAAACAGCTGAAACCTAAAGGTTTGATAAGTATTGGCCTATCAACTTCCCAGAGGAGGGAAAAGCATCTTGAAGGCAGTTGGGACCATTGAGTGGCACTTTGAAGCACTGTATTCATGTTAGACAAGTTCCATACTGAGAAGCCTTAAGCTAGAAAACTAAGCTCACAGAAAACCTTTAAAATCCTGTTGTGTATTCTTATGCAGGAACTAAAAACCTGGGTTCAAATTCTGACTCTGTCACTTACAAATTCTTATTTGGTCTCTCTGAGCCTCAGTTCTATATGTATAAAATGAGATCAGAATATCTTTTTTTCCTATCTCACAAAATTATTATGATGGTGAAATGGCCTAATGTGTGAAGTATTACACAAATCTATGTTGTGGTTGCTATTATTTGGTGTGTGCCCTTTTCCTCTTGCCCAGAATAATACACTAAGCTCCCAAACTAGTCCCAAAAGAGGGGCCCAAACCATACCGGAAGATCCTACTGACTACACATGCCAGCTGAGCTCTCTGATGCGTGTTCAGCTGGTCTGTAAAACTAAGTGGAGAAGGAAAAGAAAACCACCACTCAGAAGGACTTCAGCCAGTTCCCACTGCTAAAACAAACTTAGGGTGAAGACAGAACCTACTACTAGGGATGAAGAAAACCTTATTTTCCATTCCTTTTTTCGAGTAGCAGCAACATATAAACAACTGAAAGCCACTCTGAGGCAAGGAACGCACTTCAAGGCACTTTTTACAATTCTTGGGGCTAATAGTGGCAGTGGTTCCTGCAGAACTTTCAAATACCACCCTGGGAAATTAGAAAGGAAGGGAAGAGCATCAGAAGTAGCTCATTGATTTGAGGTGAAGAATTATGCCTAAAAGAAAAAATATTAAGCTGGGCATGGTGGCACACACATCTAATCCCAGCACCTGGGAGGCTGAGGTAGGAGGACCGCTGGAAGTTCATGGCCAGTCTGGACTACATAGTGAGACTATGTCTCAAAAAAAAAGGACAAAGGTAGAAGCCTTTTTTTTTTTGATACCAGGAATCAAACTCAGGACCTTGTGCTTGTGAGGCAGGTGCAGTGCCACTGAGCTAAATCCCTGGCCCACTTCTTTCTGTTTTTATCTGGCCAATACCTATCAAACTTTTAGGTTTCAGCTGTTTCAGCTTATTCTCTCTAAACAATGTGCTATGCCCTCACTGCCCTGTGCCTTTTAGAAATTTATCTTGTAGTACCAGAGATTAAATCCAGGGCCTTGCACTTAACTACACCCCTAGCCTTTTTTATCTATTTTTTATTTTGAGACAGGGTCTTGCTAAGTCACCCAGGATGGGCTCAAACTTTTGATCTTCCTGTATCAGTCTGCCAGAGTGCTGGGATCCCAAGTAGGAGCCATCACTCCTGGCTTGCTGTCACTTCTGCAGGTTATGAGGCAGGGGCTTCTTATCAATAACTGTATTCCCAGGGATTAACAAACACAGGATTGTGTGTGTGTGTGTGTGTGTGTGTGTGCGCGCGCGTGTGCTTGGGGACTGAAGCACTCTACCTCCAAGCTACATCCCAGCCCTTTCTAAAAATTTATTTTGAGACAGGTTCTTGATAAGTTGCTCAGGCTGGGCTTGAACTTGCAATCCTCCTGCCTCAGCCTCCCCAGCAGGCAGGATTACAGGGGTGTGCCATTATGCCCAGCCTCAAACAAGCACCTTAAGCAGAAATAGTAGAGACAAGACACAGCACCACCAGTTCTCTGACTAGATGTAAAATCACTGCTCAAGTATTCCTCCCATCATATCTCATGTAAAAAGCAAAATGACAAAGTAAAAGTAGCTGCAGAAAAATAAAGTTCTCCAGAAAGGGATCAAGGTTGGCCAGTAGCAACTGTACTCTCTACTTGGCACAAGGGGGCGCCTGCTGCTTACTCCATCACCACGAGGTCAGGAGGAAGGGAGGGGCCCTAACGCCACACAGGTTTCACTCACGAAAATTCAGTTTAAAGTCAAAACTCCAGAGGGCAGTGTTATTTTCTGATTCTACTCATTATCTCCAATATCTTGCAGAATCGAGAGAAATCAGAAACAGGCACACCCGACCTGACTCTATTCTGGGTTGAATTCACTATTTTCCCTTCCTTGGCTTCTACTCACATGCAGAAGAGAAGTTGGGAACAGAAAAGTGCTTAACCCACCTCTGCCTCGTGACCAGACTTGCATTCTTCCTTTCCAGGGTCAAACTCTGGCCTCAGCGACCACAGACTTGTATCCACTTAGTTTAAGGTAAACCAAGTAAAAGCAAAAGAAAGCCAGTCAATTCTCCCTTTCAGCTATTTTCCAGCCTCACTTCCCATCAAGCCCCTTGCCAAATCAGACTCTCTTAATGGCAAGGCATTTACAGATCAAGTAGTTTCACTTTTATTTTCCCATGAGATAAATAGGATCCAAAGATCTCATTAGAGACTGTCAGGACTGTATAATTACCATCGCCATTTTATGGACGTGTAAACTGAGGCTCACTGGGGCCAAGTGACACACCCACGACTACTTGACCCTCATCTCTGCCTGTGAAACATCACCCACAACCAAAGGGTACGTGCTCTTTCCCAGACAGGATTGTAAGCCAAGTCCAAGGCCTAGCCCAGTACTTCCTCCAGTGATACAGCATGTATTTGCTGTATGCTTACAGTACGCCCTGAGAATTTGGAAAAGACTATGAACTAGACCCTCTGAGTAAGACTAACATCTTCAGAGGGGCGGCGTCGCTCAGCGTTCTTCAGGGCCTAAGGCCTCGCGGGCCGTCCCGAGCCTGGAGTCGCCTTCGGCCACCCCAGCCGTGTCTGAAGCCCATGCTAGCCTGCTCCTTTCGGACAGTCCCTACCGGGGACACAGCCCCAACCCTCATTTCAAAGGAGCCACGGCCCAAGGGATACTCCCGAGGGAGCCAGTGGAGTTCTGACTAGGAACAGGGCCGGAAGCAGGCGAGGGCGGGAGGCCGTAAAGGAAGAGGCGGCGCCCGGGGACTTTATGGCGGAGAGGTGGGGCTCCACCCTTCTCCGCAGCCTCCGCCTCATTTCTCTAAGCCTCCGTTTGACAGCTTTCTTCCCTCCCAGAGATCCAAGACTCGAAAACTGGTAACCCGGTCTCCTGTGCCTGTCCATCCCGAATGCTCCGGCCGGAACCAAACCGCAGTACCTCCATCCGGGTCCGGAGCTGCCCACGCCTGCGTGCTAGCTCCGCCGATAGCGTCTCCGCCCCGCTCCTGCACGGACTCGGGGTTGTCCCACCTCCCTCGGCGGCGGCCATATTGATTCCGGGCGAGCGGGGCGGGGACCACGGTTCAGCATATTTCTGCGGAGCATCTTTCCGCCTTGGTGTCACCTGAGAAATTCTTTCTCGCACTTCGACTTCCTTCCAGCCCCCTTCCTCGGCTTCAGTAATACGCCGGAGCTGCAGTCTCAGAGTCAGTGCTCTCGCCCCAGTTCCATCTTGCCCCGTTCACTGAGTTCCCAATGTGGGCTGAGGCTCTTGTGGTTGAAAGGTGCCCCGCTGCCTCTTCACAGAAGCCAGAGCCTCGCTTTCCCTTCTGTCAGGCAACAACAGCTCAGCACAGTGCCTGGTACACAGTAGGTTTTCAATGAATAGTCAGAAGCCTTTTTGGGGTTTGTGTGGCCAGCAGTGGCACCCTGCGTCCTGGGTGTGAAGAAAGTGGGGGATCCCCTTGACTTTCCCCTCCTTGCTACCAGGAACCTCTATCTTGCTTCAGTACTCCACCCTACCTCAGGTGGCTTGTGAGGATGGTGAAGGAAACCTTAGAGACACCTCTAGGACTCCTCCCTTCACTCAAGCAGTTTCATGGGAAATAGGACCAGATAAAAGGAAGCTAACTCAACAAAATCGTCTGTTAGGAAGGAGCGGCCAGTTGGTGCCCCTGTAACGGAAACTGTTAGAACAACTTTGCACCCTCCTTAAAAGAAACAGATAATAAATCCTTCTCCGTTGGTGGATTTCTCGTTTCTTAGGATTCCAAAGCCTTCTGTGGTTTCAGTTATCTGCCTTCCAAAACGAAGCTAGGGTCTGAGTTAGACTCTGGCCACAGCCCTGCCCGAGGGAGGGGTTTATCTTCTCTAACTGCCACTAAAGTGGGTGGGAACAAAGAGATGGCTGCTATCTCTCTAGGCAAAGAAAACTAGCCCACTTCAATTCTTGGGGAGGCGGAGGGGGCGCGGCACAGACTGTATCTTTTGATTCTTTGTAACGCATTTCATGTCCTGAGACCTAACCCCAAATATTTGTTGTATGTAAGGTGGATGAAGGAGGCATATTTTAGTGGTTGTGTGATGGAGAAGGGGGGAAAAATGAAGTTTAGAAGGCTTCTCCTCCCAGGTTTTTCAGTGGCATGCATTTTTTTTTTTTTTTCAGCTCCAGAGGCCTGTTAGTAAAATGGCAAAGTCTCAGGGCACTCTTGTGACTGGATCCCAAGGTTGTGACTTGAATCTCTAGAAGCTTATGAGGCTCCAAGCCCCACTCTATTTGCAAAGATTAAAATTGAGAAATGGACTGTCCTTGCATTGTGAATTCACAAAAGAAAAAAAAGCCATGTATTCTCAGGGTTCTGTCCACAGCAGAGTCCCTAAAAAATCTGTTTGTGAAAAGGCCAGTCTTTTGTGACAAGTCAGAATGTTTTCTAAAAGCTCAACTGGCACCCTTTTAGCGGTAGGACTTTGTCCAGATCTTCAGCTCCACTTTCCTGCAATTTCTCTTTCCTTTCCTTCTCTGCTACCCAACCCCCGCCCCTTCCGCCCTGTTTCCTGTTTCATTTTCTGGCTCCTGCTCTGACAGGAAAACAAGGACGCTGAATTTTGTGTTCTCAAAGCCCTGGATCCGTGGCTCTTCAGGTTCAGAGGTGGTTAGATGGGATGGGAAGGGGTCTGGGGCACTAAGGTTATGAGAGGTGAAATAGGCAGCTCTCCTCAGTCTGCTTTTAGAGTCTGCAGCTAAAATGGAGGCTGCATCAACACAAGAAGCCAGCTGAACTACCAGATCTGTGGGAAGTGTGTGAGACAGCCATATCCCAGGGCTCCAGACTCTACACTTCCCCAGCCACTTCCATTAAGGAGCAGATACCTCACACCACCAACAAATAGTTTCGTAATAGAAATCCCTAAACAAAGCAATGCACCACTATTTCTAGAATTCAAGAGGGTACATCATTTCTGTTCCCTGAACTTGCCTGGTGCTGCTCTTGCTATTAACTCCTGTTTGAAACATTCTGCCATCAAGCCAGCCCACTATATTTGGGGCTTGGTGGAATATTACCTGCTCAGAGGGGCTTTCTCTGACTACCCAGCCACAGATGTCTCCCTGTCCTATCCCATCACTCTTATTTTCTTCATAGCACTGAACACTATTTGCTTATCCTGTCCATGAATTTTACTTGTTTATTGTCTGTTTCCCTTTTCTGGAATGTAAGTTTCTGAATATAATGGAAGAGCAGGACTCTTGCTCAGCAATGTATTCCCAGTGCTTAGGACAGTGCCTTGGAGATGGTCTCTTCAGTAAAGATCTAGTGAATAAATCAGTTTAACTAGATACCTACTTTTTGTTTGTTTTTTTGAGGCAGGGTCTCCCTTTGTAGTTCAGGCTGGCCCTGAACTCAGTATGTAGCCTTAGGCTGGCCTTGAACTCAGGCAGTCCTCCTGCCTGCAGCCTCCCTAGTGCTAGGATTATAGGTGTGTGCCATGCCCAGCTTTAGATACTTTTTTTTGGTACCGGGGATCGGTTCCTTGCGCTTGCGCAGCAGGCAGTGAAGCCACTGAGCTAAATCCCTGGCCCCAAATACTTTTTTTTTCTTTTGGTACCAGTGATCAAACTCAGGACCTTGTGCTTGTGAGGCAGGTGCTGGAACCACTGGCTAAATCCCTGGCCCTAGATACCTATTTTTTATGGATGATAGAACTAAAGCTTATAAAGGGAAAATTGACTGGACCAAAAAGTCATACAGTGAGTGGCAGGGATGGGACTTGGTTGGGTTTTTGTGGGGTTGTTTTTTTTTTTGCTTTTGAGAGAGGGTCTCACTATGTAGTTCAGACTGGCCTTGAACTCACTATACAGCCCAGGCTCAGCCTCTGGAGTGATGGGATTACAGGGGTGCATACCATGCCCAGTTTTCCTGTGCTGGTTCTGTCAATCCACATTATTTTAATTTTTCCCAGGTTTATTCCTTTTCCTCTCTTCCTTTCATCCCACAGAGCTAAATGAAGTATTTACTAAGAATCCTATGGTGAGAATCCTACAACCCTTGTCCACAAACTGGAGTTGCTTACCCTGATCTGGGATGTGGGTTTCCATTGTAGGGCAAAAGTGACCATACTGGCCTGAATCATGGCACTATCAAGTGTTAGCAGCCAAGGCTAGTGCACTTGATGACAAGCAGTGCTGCCTCACCAGAACTTTATGCTACTTCTTTCTACTATAGGTAAAACGACATTCATTGGCAGTTTCCACATTGTGTTTGGTGACATATTTATCCTGACACCTGGAGTCACACCAGTCAGTCTTGTACATTTATTTTTTACCTCTGTTGGATCTGTTGAATATGTCCATCCATTCCAGGTCAAAGACTTTGCCATGCCTCTAATTATAGGAGCCAACACTGATGCTTCAAAGATCACAGTCAGTTTTCATCCTTCCTTCAGTGTTTGATTTTTAATAGAAAACTTTGATTCCACTGTGAGGCCTGGTGTGAAGGCCTTAGCCACTTGGGGGTGGCAGTGGCTGCAAAGCTAAAGAGCCAGTGAGGTTGAGAGTATTATTTAGGCTGGACTTGGCTGCTGTCCAGCTATGAAAGAAGGTTAAGGTCACTGGGGGGGGTGGGGGGTGGGAAGGGAGGAGCCTGGGAAAAGAACTACTGGCCACACCCCTAAGTTCTCTACTGGCAAGGTTCTATTTACTTCTCAAAAGCAAATTACTCTCAGCTCAGTGGTTAGCAGTTCTGTTGGCTGTAGTAGCTCCAGTCAGAAACTGGAGACCAGGCTAGGCCCCCACTGCATTGCAGGGGAGCAGATGAAAGGAACCCAGGAAACCCAGGAAACCGAACTCCTAGGTAATGCTCCTTGTATAGCCCAGAAATGCGCTTTCTAGATTAGAAAATGGAGCTCAGGAGGCAGAGAGCAAAAAATAGCCATTAGCAGTATTGCTTGCCAAAATATAGATGTGAAAAACCTCCCATGTTGTTTTTTTCCAGACAAGTCCTAGGAAGGCATCTTGGTTGATAAAAGGTTTTTCTCTCAATAGAGAAATATTAATTATTCTTTCTGGTCCCTGACCCAAATATTAACAGCCACACTTAATTTGATACACACTTGACTGAAATTCTTGGGACAATTTCACCTCATGGCAGATCCAATAAAAACAAATCTTGCTTGCTATACACCACAACTAGATTCAGTTATTCCTGGTTGTCCTCCCAACTAGAGAGGAAGTGTGCTGTGGTACATTGGGAAGAGCTCAGGGCCCAGTCAGGTGGGCCTTTCTTAGCATATGAACTTAATCAGGGATTCACTTTGGACAGCCTTTTCTCCCAACTGTAAAATGGGAGCCAGAACACCAAATTCACAGCCACAAGGCTGCTGTCAATTGTGATGTACTATGTCCAGCATTTAAGTAGGTACTCAACAGAAAACCATCTCAAGTCTCACTTCAAAGTGTTTGAAATCATTTTCTGCTGCTGCCTGATTTCTCCTCAAACCTGAAATTGAACTTTCTCCCATGATCCCTAAGGGGATGAATAGAGAAGCTGTATCTTGTGACATTAACCTCATAAAAAGCAGCTGCATGTAGCCAATTTCTATAATATCACTCAACTACTTCTTAAATAAGTACCATGTGCCAGGCTATGTTAGCACAGGGATATAGCAGGGAACTTAACTTCCCTGGTTTCAGAGATTTTACATTCCAGTAGAGTGCAGGTAAGTACAATATATAGTAGACCAAGGGCCGGGGATTTAGCTCAGTGGTTTCAGCGCCTGCCTTGCAAGGCAAGGTCCCGAGTTGGATCCCCAGTACCAAAAAAAAAAAAAAAAAAGCAATATACAGTAAACCAGATGGTAACAAGTGCTGTAAGGCAGAGAAGGAAAACAAGGCAGGTTAGTAGAAATTGGTACTCTACCATTTATTTTTTTGTTTGTTTTGGTACTGGGGATTGAACTCGGGTCCTTGCACTTGCGAGGCAGGCAGCGGAACCACTGAGCTAAATTCCCGGCCCCGGAAATTGGTATCTCTTTGGGGGGCCCGGGGGTGCTGGCGATTGAACCTGAGGCCTTGTGCATGCTCTTTATGGAGCTACAGCCACAGCCCTTATAGTATCTGAACAGACCTGGAGGACTTGGGCCATACAGCTACCTGGTTAGAGAAGTTCATGCACTGGGAACAAATACTATAAAGATCCCCAAAGTGGAATTAGCCCTGTGTAGTGCAGTGAGTCATGGAGACAGATGGTGTTGGAAAAGTAGCAGATAAATGGGGGCCTTGTATACAAGTTGTAAGGATTTGGACTTTTACTTAGAGAAACACTGGAGTTTGCTCTGGTTTTCAAGGGGTCATTATGGTTGCTGTATTAAGAGATTCAACTGAGCAAAGTGGGAGTGGAAAGCCAGTGTGGACAGCATTGTAGAATATAGGAAGGAACTGGATGTGGTGGCACACGTCTGTAACCCCAGCACTTGGGAGACTGAGGCAGGATTGCTGCGAGTTTGGAGTACATAGTGAGGTCAAAGCCAGCCAGAACTATATAGCGAGACCCTGTATTATAAAAAAAAAATGCAGGAAGGATATGATAGTATCTTGAATTATAGTAATGGCTGGATTGAGATTTTTTTTTTTGGAGACTGGGTCTCACTATGCAATTCAGGCTGGCCTCAAAATCATAGTGATCGTCTTGCCTCAGCCTCTCAAGTGCTGGGAACACAG